AAGACCCTGGCCCTTTCGGCAAGGCAGGCTCCCTGCTTGTCATTCTATTCCCTGCGAGGGCCAAGAATTGTGCTTCTCCAAACGAATTCCAACTTTTCCAAGCCATAGTGCCAGCCTACGGAGTGAAGATGGTGTTTATTCGTTGGCCCCTATGCAAGTGGCACTTCCGTTTGGTTTCCTAGGTAGTAGCCAGAGGATTCGGTAGTTATCACGCACTGATCTACTACGAGATCCCAACTGTTGCAAAATACGGTAGGCGAGCATGGGAACAACGAAGGGGCAGTCCTAGGCTGGGGTTGCTGGGTGTAGTAACCGTGGGGCTGGGCAGGGATGATGATTGCCAAGGTGTTTGGGGGGGAGGAGCTGTGAGCCAGGAGTGAAATGAAACAGCAGGGAAGCGTGGCAGAGTGAAACGTAAGTTCTGCAACTCTGTAAATAGGAGTCTGGAAACCAAACCTGCCTTGTCTGCTATCAAGGGATCCGGGCGCGGAAGGAGGGGGGAGCGAGTAGCGATAACAGGGGGGCTTTGTCTCAGTATGGGGCAAGGCAGGCGGGAGCCCGGCCAGGATCTGTGCACGGCTGGCAGTTTCTGGAAGGCTGCAGGCACCGGGGGAGCGAAGTTGGGGGGCTGGAGGAGACCCCGCCGAACTTCCCCGAAAGTGCAGCGAAGAGGAGAAGCTGAGCCGGAGGGCAGAGGGCGGTGACCGGACCCGGGGGGAGGAGTCTCCGGGGGAAGGCAGGTGGAGGTGCCGGAGAGGGAGGTGCTCAGGGGGATGGGGAGGCAGGTGCCAAGGGACCCCGCAGGGCGAGTCCGAAGAGCATCGGTGGGAAGTGGAGGCGCTCAGGTGGAGCCCGGCGGGGGGCGGGAGCAGCAGCAGCTGGCACGGTGAGTCCCCGTCCTCCTCCCGGATCTAGCGCGCATGGGGGAGGGAAGCGCTGCCCCGAGATAGTGCAGGCTGGCAGGAGCTGCGGAGCGCCATTGGAAGGGGGGGGGGCACAGATTACACACACACACCCCGACCAGCGCCTGACCCTCCTCTTCCTCCTTCAGGGCCCTGCCCCAGCAGCCTGGCCCGTGATCCCCAAAGCCCAGTGAGTGGCGTTGTGAGCTGGGGCACAGCGCCCCTCAGGTGTGGACCAGCCAAAAAGTGGTTGGGCCATGGCATAGCTGGACGCCCTGGCTCTGCGGCCTAGGGGTGGGGGCCTGTGTGCAGTCTGGCCTGAGCTGGATGCCTCTGGGGCCTGGAAACTAACCACCTGGGGGATGCAGGGAGCCCGTACCCTGATAGCAGAGACCTTCCATCCTGACTTGCAGCGCTCTCCAGCTCCTCAGGGCTGCATGCAGCTCCGCCAATGCCCCTGGTCTAGACCTGTACCCGGCCCCTATGTCCAGTGCTGGCCCCTCCCACAGCTCCGCCAATGCCCCTTGCTTCTAATCTGCAGCAACCTTCTCCACAACTCCACTGCAGGGCCCCTCATACAGATCTGTCAGGGTTGCCTATGCCTGGTCTACGGTCCCCACCCAGCTCTATGATGCACCCAGTCCTGAGAGCTGGCTTCCTTTTGGATGATGATCTCCGTGGCTGAGATGAATTTGCCTCTGCAATCAGCACTTTGGGGAAGACAATCCCCTAAAAATCTTATGCCATTCACCAGTCAAGCATGGGATCTGTTTAGGGATGAAGACATGGCAGGCTGCCCTGAAAATGATGGCAGAGACTCTAGCATGGAAACCCAGCTAACTCGACCTGTGTGCTAAGAGGAGAGATCTGTGCTTCTGCTGGTGACTGGCTTGATAGGAGCTTTCCAATCCTATCCTACAGCAAACATAGGCTTGGGGTGGGGCATATCTAGTGCCTCACTTATATTGGTGTTTGTCTAGTGGTAGGTTAAAGGGCACTTCCTTCTAGGTCATGTGATGGCAGTGTAGCAAGACTGATGCAGGTGAATGGCATGTTCTTTTTCATCAGTGGAAAGTGTCTGCTTTGTTCCGTGGGAAGTAGGACTGGTTTTTCTCCATTCAGTGGTAGGATACGTTGTAAAAAGTGCCTGCTTGAGCGAGGAACAGCTCAGTTGTGCGATGCTTATTGATGGGAGTTCTGTTATCCTTCCCAACTCTGAAGGGTGCAATTAAGGTGCAAGCTGCAGGCATGAGTAATATCCTGCCTTGATATGCTGTGTTCCATGTAGACTTCATTTTAATGTACAGTATAAAAGAGACTGAAATTTCAAAGCTGAAACTCAGTTGCACTGACTCATCAGAACCAGAAGGTATCTATGGGGTGACTTTGAATAATATGTTATGCTTCCTTTTGGAGTGTCTCAAACCCTAACTTTGCCTCACAGCAGCCTGGTGAGGTAGGTGAAACCTGTATTATAATCATCTTACAGATGATCAAGGCCATGTGAGTTAGAAGCAGAGCTGGGAATGGAACCCACAAACCCTGGCTCACAATCCCATGTTCAAGATACTAGACCACACTTCAAGGAGCGCCTCCTAGTTAGGATTAAGAGAAAATTCTGTCCTTGGGTCATCCCAGTAATTGAAGTTACCTGTATTTTGGATTTGTTTGTTCTGAGATGAGTTAGCTGCCGTGTGATATTAGTTGTGATTGAACACCGGGGTGTGCAGTATCATCATCTCCTACTTTCCATAAAGTGGTGGTCTTACACTGAAGGAATTTTTGATTCAGTGTAACATAGCTTGACATGTTTAAGCTCTAGCCTCCATTAGATGTGGGCTTTAATATGGTCTGTCAAGGGTATGAGTTGCTTAGTTGCTGTATCAGTTCTTTTCTTCCCAAACTCTCCTGCTGTTTTGTGTTCTGTTTTGGAAGCAAATGGGTCTTTAGCTGCTTGGAAATGACCAGTTACCCAGCACAGCTGGTATCTAATTACATTCCAGAGCTGGGAATTCTAACTCAGCACTATGCAGAGGTTTTTATTTTTAATGAGTGTTGTTATAAACTGTTAATTAAGTCCTACAACAGCAGTAATCTCAGCAGGATTGACGGCTATGTAATCATAGCTATTCCTGATTGTCGCTCCTACTCCTTTTCAGCCTGGGCTAGGAAAGCTAATAAAACCTATTGATAACAACATTTTCCATCAGCTGGCTAAGATCAAAGCCAGAGAGCTGCTGATGTGCCAGGGTGCAGCTGCTAAGAATAGGCGATTTGGCCCAACCATTTCCCACCCCCATCCCCCAAAGCCATTTGATTGGGCCTCTGGCTGTGTGGTGCAAGCTGTGGGGTAGGGAGGAGTCATATCCTCACTGTTAAACCAGGGCAGCTAGAGGAGTTCAGTTCCACACAGTTTAGAGAGGAGGGATTGGGGGAGAATAGGGAAAGGGCTAAGAAGTGATGTATGTTTTGTGGGATGGTAGAGAAACGTTTCCTGTTAAAGTGGGGGAGCAGGAATCTACTATCAGCTCCAGTGAGGGCTGAATACAAGAGAGAGTTGGCCTGATGTCTCAGGGGTATGTACTACTGTCTCCACAGAGCTCAGTTCATGCTCTACAGCCTATGCCACTGGGGCATGAGCACTAAATATCATGTTGCCATTTCAGCCTGTTGTTGGATGAAACTTCTGAGGCAGGGGTCTCCTATGGCTTCTATTTGGCTCCATGGCCTGGGCCAGCCTTCAATTGAGGAAAGAAAAGTTGGAAGGGAGTGAATGGAGGAATGGACTTGACACAGTGGATGTAGATAGGGGCTGGCCTGTGGTGATGGAGTTGGGACTAGAGACCTGTCTGCTTTAGAGATTTGCCCCGATTCAAGCAATGGATAGCGGAGGCACCAAGGGGGTTGCTTCAGTGCAGGTCCCCAGGGCAGACTGAAAGCTGCCACTCGCACTGGGTGTTTCAGTCCTGAGGCGCAGTCTGCTAATTGTGTCAAATCAGTTGTGAGGTGTGTGCAGATGGTTAGTAGGATGAGACCAAACACATTTTACTTATAACCTAACCATCCTTGAAGGGCTGAAAAGGCCACTGCATTTATGTAGGCCTTAATTATTTTACTGATGCTGGGGGCTGGAGCAAGAGCTGTATCCTCTGAAAGTGTGATTCTGCTCTAAGTATCTGTTAAAATGGAATGGGGAGGGGGGGTCCCATTGTTGTCACATGTCAACGATTCCAAATCTTTTTTTTTCTCATCTTACAAGTGAAAAGTGCCTCCTTCACCTCCCCTCCCCCAATCCGTTCACTACCAGCCCAATGAACCCAGGATCTGATAGTCTTACCCAGATCACTTTGACATACGGCAGGCTGGGTTCTTTCCTTCTCACCCATCCTTGCCCGTGGTGCTGATAATACAGGTCCAATTCTGCTCCGTTACTCCTCTGCAGCCATGCTTCACCTATGCACCTGTAACAAAGACTAATTGGGGCAGCAGAGGTTGCAAAGGTGTGAACACAGGATGTGATCTGCATAATGTTTGTTAAAGGAGGTGATTCATGAGCAGGAAATAACCCAGCTGGACTGCCTGGGCCTTGGATGAGTTTGTGGTACTGGCTGTTAGAAAAATAAAGTGATCAGATTTGATTGAGATACAAGTATGGAGCCCCTCCATGCCATTTTGAGAGTTGTTTTTCAGAGTAGAAACACATCTGGAGTTTAGCTCTGATTGAAGTTTGCCAATGTGTTAATTGCTCTCATACCTACAGCTTTGTCTCCCAAATGTTCTTGAGGATTGGGAGGGGCATGTTGTGTTGTCTAGAGGCCTGGCAGCAACATTTTCCTCTTCTATTTTCTTAAGAGTCTCTTGTTGTGTTTTGTCTCTTCTTCAGGCCGCACATGGTGCTATTCCTTCCCTGCTTGCTGGGGAGATGCATCTCTCTTGATTAATGGTGTTATCAGAATGAGTCATCTTGGCTTTTAATAAGAAGCTTCAGAAGTTTTCCTCGCTCTCCCTAGGAGTCTGATGAACTGTGATGGAATGTGCACCCATGTGCTCCGTGTTATGGTGCTCTTCAGATTGAACGGTAGAATTCTCTTCATTTGTACGGCCCTACATGGGTGCCCAGTCATCTATTAGAAAGGATTCCATTATCCTGAAAGGTCTGTGGGCCTGAGCCAAAGACAATGGGAAGACGCCCCCGACTTCAGTTGGCTCTGGATCAATAAAGAGCAGAATCGAAGAAGCTGAGTGTTTGGAGAACAGGCAGGAAAATGGAGGCCCAGAGTCTCAAAAGTATTTAGGCTCCTACCTTCCATTGATCTCAATGGAAGGTAGGAGCCTAAAATGCCTTAAGGATCTGGGCCAAAGTGCCTAGGGTCAGTTGGCCTTAAAGGTAGTATCCTGTTTAGTTTTGGAGAGTTGGAGGTTTTCCCCCCCTCCTCTGAGCGTGCGACTCAGTGACCAAAGTAAAAACGCTATAGAGCAGCCCTGAGACTCTAACGGTGCGCAGTTTTCAAATAAATAGGTGGAAACTCACCAGCACAATTGGTGGAGCAGGCGCTTTCTGTGCCGCAAGACTGCTTTTAGCATCCGCACGTATCTGGAAAAGCTCTCAGCACCGTACTTGGTGGAGCTGAGGCTGTCCATACAGATTCCCAGCAGGCATTGGGTTGTGAAATGGCTCTCCATCCCGTATGGCCTTCCTGCCTCAGACATATGTTCACGGAAATGGGTGGGAGCTACTTAGGGGAGAGAATCTGTGCACAACTGCCATTCTTGCTCTGTGTTTGTACAGCGCTTAGCACACTGGGGTCCTTGCCCTTGAATGGGGCTCCTAGGTACTACAATACAGTCCATAAATCATTACCACTTTGTCCTTCCCCTGACACAGCTTTAATGGGCACAGCTTCTGAGTCGAGATATCTACAGTGCATCTCCTCCTTTGACTCACTGCAGATAGAAGAAACAGGACTAGTTAGTAATATGGCTCTCTTGCTTCCCTGTGTCATCACAACCTGCTAGATATACCAATGCCTCATAGATTAGGCACTAAGGCTTTCCCTCCCTGAGGTGGAATATTGTCTGCGTTTGGATCGCTTCATAAAACTGCTTCACCCCTTCCCAGAGGAAGCAGGAGGGGTTGGACCCAGCCTGGTCACCACCAGCTGTCCAAGCACTAACACACAGCTACTGTACCAGGCTGTTCCAGGGCTGATCACAAAGCAAATAAGGAAGGGCATAGCTGTTAAAAACCAAACACAATCTTTACTCCCTCCTCCCCGTTTCCATGAACCCTGTGCTATCTGTGCCATCCTGTTAATGTTTATATGGCAGGGTCTCTGGTGTATCAGTCTGTCTAAAGGACAGACAGCTCCCTGCTCTCCCTTGAATCCTACTTCCTGGACCCTGGGGGCTAGAAATGAGCTGTGACTCCAACAATGTATTTGTTACACAGGGTACGTCTATACTTGCCTCCGGGTCCGGCGGGAAGCAATTGATTTTCTGGGATCGATTTATCGCGTCTTGTCTAGACGTGATAAATTGATCCCGGATCGATCCCGGAAGTGCTCACCATCGACGCCGGTACTCCTGCTCCGCGAGAGGAGTACGCGGAGTCGACGGGGGAGCCTGCCTGCCGCGTCTGGACCCGCGGTAAGTTCGAACTAAGATACTTCGACTTCAGCTACGTTATTCATGTAGCTGAAGTTGCGTATCTTAGTTCGAAGTGGGGGGTTAGTGTGGACCAGCACAGAGAAAGCTGGCAGTCAGGTGACTGCTTGGTAACTCGATCTTCTCCTTCACTCCACCTGTCTTTCTTTCCCTCTCCCAGGTACAGATGTTCTGGGCGTGAACTCTGAGCCTTTGCCAACGTGAGTGGCAACACCGCCTGCAGTTGGGACCTCTCGACTTACATGCGAATTCTTCTCACCCAGCCCTTCCCCTGTCAATGTGGGGGAAGAGATATTTTTAGTCACTGGTGCATGTGGCTGTTGGCTTGACACCATCTGAATTTCCTCTCCTGCAAGGTAGGAATTGTCCAGAGAGCGGAAAAGGAAGTTGCGTGGAGAATTCTTGCTTTTATCATTATTTAAATAGTTATTAATAGCGGGGATCAACCTCTAACACGGAACCTTCCTCCCACTAGCCTGTGGGAGTTTGCCCAAACAAAACTTCTGGGTTAGCTTCAGGGAGATGCAGTTAGTTAATGGGGAAAATGGAGAAATCTATTAATTTATCCATTTACAGGAGAAACTTGTTAAAGACTTTTTTAAAAGCTAAGTGTTGTTAAACTGTTTGGATTCCTGGAATACAGGGTGCTACACAAGCAGTTTAGCTGAAGAAATGAAAGGCCAAAGATGGCAGCTTCGTTGTCTGGAGACCTTTGGGTCTGAGGTGTATTGTGAGATCGGTCCTCTCTGTGTGTCCAGACATGAGATGTGGTGCCCAGAACATGCTGACCATTGTTTGCTCTGGAAATACGTTGCTCTTTGCCTTTATGAGATCTGGCTTGAGAAGGGGAACCCTACCAGACACTGCACTGACTCTATTGTGGTGACTGGTGGTGGTGGAGATTTCCTAAAGGGCTGATAGGCCCCAACTGGACTGCAGGACTCTAGTCTTGAGAGATTTCTGCTATGCTTCAGGGTTGGCAAAATAGAATTTTTACATGCATCCCAAAGTGCTTGGCAAGCTATGAGATGCAGCACTACTGAAATGCAGCTGCCTCTGGGTTGGAGGTCATTGGCTGGTGCATGGTACACTGACCACGCAGCTAGGTAGAACAGCTATTTTAAGTGTTAAAAATGAGACATGGATTCCAGTTTGATCTTGGATACATAGACACAGTGGGAATTGCAGCCAAGGGCAGAATCAAGGTGCCCTTTGTGTCTTAGAACTGTAGTGGAATGAGGCCACTTCGCTTTCCCTGAGGTTTTTCTATGCGTCACCTGGCCCTAAGGCTGCTGTCTTGAAACCATCTGAGATGGGCAGAGATTGAACAGAGAGCTCATGTCAGCTCCCTGATCTTCTGTGCCCTCTGAATCTTGCGGGAAATGGTTGGTAGTTTGCCAGAGATTCCTGTTCTCACATCCTATCGTGAAATGGTTGCAGCTTTTATTCTTGCTTGTCTTGTGGCTCTGGGAGCCGTGGGCAGCGCTAGTCCTCTGGCTTCTAGGGTAGCACCAGTGTTTGCTCCTGGCGCTAGACCACCGAGGAGAAGGGAAGCCAATATTTCAGGCAGCCACAGTCTGTGCATTCCCAAGGCAACGGTGATATGTGCACAGCATGTAAGCGGGAATTTCTGCTTGGGCAATCGGTGCCTTTATGATTTATTGGCAAGGTTCTACCTCTGTCTCTGAGTGGGAAAGGGTTGAGGTTCTATTGATTGACTGAGACGAGTCATTGCTCCCTCCCTTAAATCGCTGATCCTGACTGGCAAGGGAAATGGATCATAGGGGACCCTGAGCAGGAGGTCAGAGACTAATTCCTGTGGGCACAGGTGCAAGGAGACCTTTTTCCTTCCTTAATGTGTGACAAGCCCCTGCCGGGGAAGAGTCGGAGGAAAGACCAGGAAGTGTGCGCATGAAGTAGGGAGGGACAGAAGGGAACCAAGCTGACTCTTGCGTACAGGAGGCTCCGCTCTTGAAGGTGGTTCTACTGAGCTCATGGGGGTTTTGTGGGCATCCTCCCCAGTAGGAGCAAAGAAGCAGATGATGTAGTGATTGGTTGGTTTTTAAGAGACACTCGAGTGATGGTGGGTGACCCTCCATGTTGGAGAAGAACCCAAAAGCTGCTGCTTCTCTGGGCCACATGGGCCTGGCAGTCTGATGGGAACCAGTTTTCTTGTAAGAGCCCCGGGATGCCCATGAGAGTCTGTCTGGAAGTGCCCAGAGAACTGCCTTGTGGGCAATATTTACCCCTTCCCATGGGCAGAGTCTAGGAAAGACACTCCGAGAACTTCTTGTGCATTTCAGTAAATCCCTGCTTCGAGAGGAAGGCTAAAGGGAAAAGGTTCTAATGTTAGCCCAACCTGTCTGCCCATCGCGGGTTCTAGGGCTAACGCCTGAGACCTTGTCGGGGATCAAAACATCTATTTGTCTTTGTGCTTCCCCTGCTGTTTCCCTCTCTCCTCTCCTCTAGTGCTTCCCCGCCCCTTGCTCCCCCGGCCCCTCTGTGCTCAGTTCATACTGACTCCTGGTATTCCTACTGCTCACTGCTCTACCTTTGCTCATTGCCCCCTCTCTGTCTGCTGCTTTGTTCTCAAACCGCCTTCCTTGCTGTATTTACCTTTGCTCTCTCCTCTCTGCCAGATGAGCAATACCACGCACACCGACCTGTCCTCTTCCACCGAGGGTGGGGTAGGCGTGACCAGCATGGCTGGCAGCACGCTGCAGACCAGGATCTTCCCTCTGACCGACTCCAGCCATCTCTCCCCTGAAGACGACTCCCCGCTGAGGGCCCTCCAGAACTACTCCCGAGATGGCCAGCAAATTTTCCTGACCACTTCGGCAGCGCAGGTGATCTCCGGAATCTTTGTGTGGTCAGCACTGATTCTCACCATCCACCAGGTAAGGGCAGGGCTCTGCAGGGAGAGGGGTGTTCCCCTGGATCTGGGTGCGCCCTGTCACCTGGGTGCATGCACACATTGGGGTGGGTGGGGGAGGTAGGGAAGGGGAGCTGCTGAGCATTGCTCAGGGCCTCAACTGAATCTCAGGATTCTTGAATGCCTCCATGCCTGTGCAAGTTACAGACTATTTCCTTGTCTCTAACTGCTTCCCTTACTTCCAGCCAACATCTCCATCTCCTGGCTGTGGCCTCCCATCTATTATAGTGTCTAGGGCAGGTGCCTCTGCCAATTTCAGACCAGCATGTTACAGGGAGGGATGAGTCCAGCCTTTTCAAACCTGATGCTAACAGCTTCATAGAGCAGACTTTGTCCTTCAGCTCCCCGGAGCGGCTGCCTGCACGCCCTTCCTCGCTGTGTTTATCTGAAGTGCTTACCCCAGAGGGGAGCTGTAACAGTTCCTAGAGCGTCAGCAGTTCTGAGGTTAAGGGAGTGTCCTCCATTCTTCTTTCTTGGGAGTCTGAATTTCCTAATGTCCCCATTCCCCACTTAACACGTGAAACTGGCTGGCTGAGGCCGTGTCTCCTCTGTGGGTTTAACTGAAATATTTGTACGCAGAGCCCAATTCTTGGTATGCAGGTGTAAATCTGGAGTATCCACTGAAACCGGTAGAATTACGCCAGATTTACACTGGTGTGGCTGAAAGCAGAATGAATTAGCCCAGCGTTAGTATTCGTATGGCAGTTAACTCCTGGGCCAGGTGGTGCAGTGGGGTAGACACACTGACTCTTCACCCTGCAGACCCAAATTTAAAATTTGGTTGGGGTCACAAATTAAATTAGTTATTTGATCTCAGTGGTGTGGAATCCCCCCCTCCCCCTCCCCCTCCCATGTAACAGCAAAGTTCTTGTACTCTGTACTCTTGGTAATTGTTGTTTAGGAGTCCCAAGCTGAAAGAGTAGGAGATGTGCTCCAACCCTAATCTTCTATATTTTATGCGACAGGTCAGGACTTAAAATGCATTGGCAAAGCTGTGGAGGGCCTGGGACGGGAATAGCAGGGTGCTTGGTGGTAGGACTGAGGTGTGGGCAGTACTTTGTGTGGAGATTTTATGCCTCTAGCCAATGGGATTAATCCTCCCACGCTTGCACTTGCTCCCTGCAGGAATGCTAGTCTCTGATTTCCTCGGCATGATGTCTTGGCAGCATGTATTATGTGCTTCCTGCAGGTTGCAAGGACCATGTGGTGGCGGGTGGAGTCTGGCAGGGTATCTGGATGGATTCTGATTCAGGTGTCAAGAGATCTTGCTCCCTGAAACAGATCTGGGCAGGAGGGAGATGAAGACTGGAAAACCGCCTAGGGATGCTCCTTTCTGCCCCCGCAAAGCGGAGGCCTGATGGCCTGTTGCCAGGTCTGCTTCTAGGCTTCTCTTCGGCAGGTATCTCTTAATGTCGCTACATTGCCCAGACTCTCTCCCTTTCCCCAGATCTACATGCACCTGAGGAACTACACCATTCCTAACGAGCAGCGCTACATCATCCGCATCCTCTTCATTGTGCCTATCTACGCCTTTGACTCCTGGCTCAGCCTCCTCCTCATTGGAAGTCACCAGTATTATGTGTACTTCAACTCTGTGCGTGACTGCTATGAAGGTGAGCAAGGCGGGGAGGCGTCTATGGTAGAGGTGGGGAGGAGAATGGTGCAGGAGGAACCTGTGATGGAGGGCACAAGGATTTTGTCTGTCTCCCCCTTCCAGTGGAAGCTAGACAAGATGTCACATCAGCGTGACTCGGCATCTCCCCCTCCACCCCATCCGCAAATCAGATCTCAGTGTTTCAGGGTCCGAGAAGGAACCCAGGGAGAGTTTTCAGGCTGCTTGATAGTAACTCTTGGGTTTGTCGTCATAGAGACCAATGGAAACAATCAACATCCACTCCTTGCCCTGTCACCAAAACTGATGCTGAATGGAGATGGGCCCTTAAGCTGCAGTGATGCACTGGAGAAGGCTCTTGAGAGTGGGGGTGGGAAAATGAATGTTCCTGGGAACCGCTGGTAAAATTCCATCACCAAACTGAAGGGGAGGGTTGAGGTGACTACTTGCCTCTGCAAAAAGAGAACAGGAGGACTTGTGGCACCTTAGAGACTAACAAATTTGTTGTTTTTTCCTCCAAGGTGAGGCAGCATCTCCAAAAAAATAACGAATTGGGTTTGTTAATTCAACTAACAAATTTGTTAGTCTCTAAGGTGCCACAAGTCCTCCTGTTCTTCTTTTTGCGGATACAGACTAACACGGCTGCTACTCTGATACTTGCCTCTGGAGTCCCACCTGGGGCAGCTAGCAGTACCTTGCCAGAGATGGCTAAGAGTAAAACAGAATAAAACGGCCATAGCCCTCATTATCCCTGTGGCTCAAATACTTCAGAAGAACAGAATTTTTGTCTCTGGATTGCGCTAGGTTTCATCAAACAGCAAATATTTCCAATCCTTTTCCAAGGGTAGATACCGCCAGCCGCCCCCCTTCATGTCAAATCCCAGAGGTCAGACTCCCTGCAATGCAATCAATATGTCAAGAGCAAAGTCTGTGTTTCCAGCAGTTTAATAGATGTTTGCCTGGGGGGGTGGAGGGACGCTGCCTCCCTCTTCAGTGATCAGTTTCAACAGGAGTATACTGTGCAGTCCCTCCCAGGTTAGCTGACTGGCCTGATTAGATGAGGTGCTAGGGTCTTTCTCATCTGCAACGTCTGAGATACCCAGTCACGCTGCATGTGCTTGTTAACTGGCTGGCTCTGCCAGGGGAGGGGGGTTGAGGTTTTTAAATTGCTTGGGTCTCTGGGAATGGGTTATGTTAAATGGTACTGCTGCACTTAGGGCTTTGGAGATTTTGTGTATGATAATTTAAATACAACGGCACCCGGTGTGTATGAACAGGCACCGTCTTTTAGCATTTGCATGAATCTAAATAAAATAAAATCCCAGGTGGAGAGAGCCCAATGGAAGTCCAGCCAGGGAGCAAAAAGTCCTATGAACAGGGACTGATCACACCTCGCAGAACTATAGTTTGTCTGCAGGCTCAGGAACACATAGGGTGACCAGATGTCCCGATTTTTTGGTTCTTTTTCTTATATAGGCTCCTATTACCCCCCCACCCACTGTCCTGATTTTTCACTCTTCCTGTCTGGTCATCCTAGGAACACAGCACTGTCTCTCCACATTGTATTGGGAAGGAATTTTTTTTTTTAATCCCACCATTTGTGGCAGAAATGCAATATTTTGAAGTGAAGGTTTGAGTCGTTCAGAAACGGATGGACCCAGCCAAGAAGTAGGTGACACTGGGTCGTTTTGAGCCCTATGCCCACTGGAGTTCAAGTGGTTGGTTGGTTGACACCATGGCATTTTATACTGTTTGGAGTAAGAGTCTGAAGGTGAATGAGGAAAAATAACGAATTGGGTTTGTTAATTCAACTAGATGATCAAGCTGCCAAGGTAATGAGCTGATTACAGGTCAGACTAGTTCAGGAAGCTCCACCCACAGAGCGCTCCCACTGCGATTGTTACACCATCAGAACAAACTCTCCCTGACTCCTCCCCAGAAGGCAGGACATGCTTAACTACCAGAAAGCAACTAATAATACTTATGTGTAGCATGTACGTAGCCCTTCCATGAGTACCTCCCTGCCTTGTCAATCCACTGTTCACGGGCCCATCTTTGTCTTGTCAGCATTTGTAATCTACAGTTTCCTGAGTCTCTGCTTTGAGTACCTTGGAGGGGAGAGCACCATCATGTCTGAGATCCGGGGGAAGCCCATCGCGTAAGTCAGAGTCCCTATCCCGTTCTTTGGCCCCCTTCACTGGCTTTCTCTCTAGGCCCAACATCACCAGTTCTCATTGTGTTCTGATTCTAGGTCCAGTTGCCTTTATGGGACCTGCTGCCTGCAAGGAATGTCCTATTCCATTGGGTTCCTCAGATTCTGCAAGCAGGTTGGTCTCTGGCCTGGACTGTTTAGCTCCTAGATTAAGGCTAAACGAGAGCCCTGGTCCATCAAATTGCAGGGGTCTTTCTGGGCAGGCTGTTCTCCCCTGCTGCCTTTTGGAGGTGTTCATGCTTCCCTCCTGCTCCTGAGTTCTTGATTTTTTTTCCTCCAAGGTGAGGCAGCATCTCCAGTAGCAATCAGCTTAGCTTGATGTCATGTGCACTGCCTCTTGACTCATTGCTGAGTCAGGGTCCCCTCCCGCTGGAGTGCCTAGTTCCTGTTTTAATCCTCCCAATCTCCTTTAGCCATTGGTACTGATTACCCAAGGTGCCTACCACCAGGCAAGTTCTGGCACGTATCTGTACGGGTGCTGTCCTGGGCTGGAGGGGAGGGTAACTTCAGTTATGTATCCTAAATGGGTTTGCTGCTATTCATGACAATCCCATGGGGCTACAGCCCTGCTCATGAATGAGCCCAGGGGGAAGCTCCTTAAGAACATTTAACCTCTGGGCTAGGGGCCCTGTGCAAAGTACGGCATGTACAGCACAGACAGACTTGCCAAAGTTGCAGAGCACCTGGAGGGTGGTATTGGGTGGGGAGGGGTTGATGAGGGGCAGGCTTTAGCTGACAGGACTGGATTTCTTGGCACAGGAAGGCCACAGAGAGACCTGGCAGGTGGGGGGAGGATTGGTTGGGTTGGAGCACTTCACTGGGATGCCAGGGAAGGCTGGATGCATGTGGGGAAGGGATCCTGCCAGTAAGGCGCACTGTGGCTGCAGACATGCCACTTGCTCAGGGCTGGTCTATTGCACTCCGTATCGCTGGCCACCCTTGCTGGTGGTGTAAGTGCTTGCTCCGTAGGGAGGAATCTCTTTCTTTCTTTCCCCCCGAATGCCAGAGCTCCTTGCTCTCCATCTCGGGGGCGGCAGGGGCCGGTTCACACTCAGTTCCTTTCTCTTGGGATCAGGTGGAGTGGGAATGTGCGTATTGCAGTCCCAGCAGCCCTTGGGAGGACAGCGAGTGCCTCCGGTGGGAGCGGGGTGGGATCTCTCTCCAACGCAGAGCTGGAAATAGCGCGGTGTCTTTTCCTCTCTTGCTGCAGGCGACACTGCAGTTCTGCATTGTGAAGCCCCTCATGGCGATCGTCACCATTGTCCTGCAGGCATTCGGGAAATACCATGATGGCGACTTCAAGTGAGACTGCGAGGACTATGGGACAGCCCATTCCCCCTGGGCTGAGATGGCTGCATCAGTCCTCTCCTCTAAGAACAGGCAGAGGCATTTCCCTTCCCCCTCCCAAATCCCCAGGGCACTCTTCCTCAAAGGGAGCTGCTCTGAGAGTGGTGGGGACAAGAGAACCAGATATGGGGAAATTAAATACTCTTCCTTGGGGCTGCTGGATCAGCACTGTGCTCTACTGGGGACCCCCCTCCCCGCTCTTCCATTGCGCTCTTCCTAGCACAGCGAATGCTCAAGGGGGTTGCAGTCTATGGTAATCTTAGCTCCCAGGAGCAACAGGGCCCAGACAAGCCTTGGAATGGGGAGAGATGGGCTGTTGTCCTTTCCTGTGCGTGAACTTGAAATGGTATGACTAAGGGCTCTAAGCCCTGTGATTGTAATCATGGCCATGGGTGGGGGGTGTACTGGGGTGAGGAGGGCTTTGCATGCCTTCCACAGATCTGCAATAGGGGGGCGAGGCCTCAGAATCAAGGGAAGATGCACAAACTTTGGGCTCTACCGTCCTTCCTCTAACTCCAGGGCTAGACTGTGGCTGGTTTCCACCCACTGTATTTACTCTAGTTGTGCACTTTAATTTTTGGACCAAGATCTTTCTGGGCCTCTAACCTCCCATCCTGCTACCAAGGAGCCCTTAGCCTAGTGAACCACCATGGTAGCAATTTCCTGTGTTTCTGTATGCTACTTGTCACCTGGCCAAACGCAGCCCCTTGCAATAGGGCTGCAGGTGCCTTTATCCGAAGTGGGGAGGAGATGCTGCAGCTGGAGAGAATAAGTTCCAGTATGTAACACTCCCTCTTGATCTGGGTCTCTGTAGGCTCCATGTAGCCTCTGTGTTGCAGATGAGGAGTGGCTGCAGCCTGTTCCATTTAGGTTCCTGGCGACTTGCCAGTGTGATCTCTGGTTGGGCGTAGTTCCAGCAGCCCAGCTTAGTAACTCCCTCTCTTCAGCATTCACAGCGGATACCTCTACATCACCATCATCTACAACTTCTCTGTCAGCATGGCCCTCTACGCGCTCTTCCTCTTCTACTTTGCCACCCTGGAGCTCCTGCGCCCCTTTGAGCCAGTCCTCAAGTTCCTCACCATCAAGGCCGTCATCTTCCTCTCCTTCTGGCAAGGTGGGTCCTAGGGCTTGGGGTTTCCAGGAGAACGGTCCTTCTTCTCTCCCAGCACCTGATCCCTCCACCCAACGAGTTGGGAGTCGGCAGAAGGACCCGTGGTAGCCGTACAACCTACTAGATGCCCTGAACCAGAACTGACCCCCTTTCTGCGTCTCTTTACAGGGATGCTGTTGGCCATCCTGGAGAAGTGTGGGGTGATCCCTGAGGTCCAGATCATTGATGGGAAGGAGGTGGGAGCTGGGACAGTAGCTGCCGGCTACCAGAACTTCATAATCTGCATTGAAATGCTATTTGCTGCCATTGCTCTGCGCTATGCCTTTACCTGCCAGGTATACAGAGAGAAGAAGGAAAACTCAACAGGTAACTACCCTCTGAAGCCATCTACATTCCAGGGTCCCCAGGCATGTAAGCAATGAGGGGATCCTGTTCTCAATTGAACAGTAAAGAGCCTTAAAAGCCACTTGGTTCTCTGCTGTTAAATCCTCCCTTTAGGCTCTTTTCCCCATAGTGCCTTCAGGCAGCTGCTAATGGCTGGGAAGAGCCCTCTCAGGAGGGATTGCTGGGACAGAGGATTGCCAATATTACAGCTAATGTTGTCAGGAAACACCCGGTGTCAAAAAGGATTCAGAACCGTCCAGTTGTGCATGTAGCTGACCTCTTGAAATGTGTCGTGGAGTCCCTCTCCCATTCCCTCCCACTGCTCGTTGTCCTGGCTTCTTGCCTTGAACTAGGCTGCCCGCTCTTGTGTTATGAAGACCTGGTTGCTGCTCACAACAGAGCCCTGATATAGAGTGTGGCCCCTGGGTGCTGCTGTAATCATGCTGACAGTTGTTCTCTGTAATCGCATCCTCTTTATAAGGGATATTTCATCCAAACTGGTGAGTTATCTCCTGCCAAGCACCAAATTTCACTTCAAATCCCATGACTGGCCTCTGTCTCCAGAGATGGGAATGTTGCAGTTACTACACTGGGTTCCCATGGGAACAGGGAAGCCTTGTTACTCCAGTAAGGACTGGCTGATGGAGGAGCAGCATGGCCTTAGAAGACTTCCCATGCAGCCCTTGCTGTTGGAGCAGGGTCTCCGTGCCCTGGGGTCCTGTGGTGTAGGTGGCAGTGGTTTCAAGGAGTTGGACTCTTTATAATGGGGAGGTATCTGGCTGGTCCTTCGTGTGCTCTGTGGCCTTGGGTCCTTTGCAAACTCCAAAGGCTGAATGTGCAAGAGAATGAAAAGGGGGGGAGTTGGGGAAGGGACTAGTTTGGCCTCTTGTTCCTCTCCCCCAGGAATGGCAAACAAAACCCTTCACCTAAATGGTGCCGTGGGATGTGCATCCTGCAGGGATGGCCTCCCTAGGAAACTTAGAGAAAGGTTTACTCTGCTCAGAGCATCCTTTTCTCTCACTGGCTATTGACCTGCCTGTGATCTCTGAGCTCCTGAGAGTCAGAGCAGTTGGTTCGGTGTGGGCAGCATGCAAGGAGATGGATTTTATCCCTTTGTTGGAAAAGGTGTTTCACCCTTCGTATCTGGACCGTGCTGTATCTCTGCATGCTGCCCACCTGCTAGCTTCCATGTAGGCTGTACTTGCTCATGGCTTGAAGAAAAGCACTAAACTTTAATTTTTAGCTAGGATTGGAGTAGAGAACAGGGGTGGGAAACCTTGGTCCACATTTCTAGGTGTCCATTTAACCATGACACAGAACTTTTCATCTGTGGATGGATTTAGATGGCAATGGATTTCTGTTGCACGTTACCCACTCACTCATCTCAAATTCTACAAGAGCATATCAAAACGTAACCACTCAAAAAATCAAATGTGTCCAGTGTGCTTTGATTGCCTTGTCTAGCGAGGCACTTCCTTTTAAAAGTGGATCACTCATAACAATTCTCTCTGCTTTCAGCAAACGTGGCCCCAATGCAGAGCATCTCTAGTGGGCTGAAGGAGACAATGAGCCCTCAGGACATTGTCCAGGATGCCATCCACAATTTCTCCCCCACATACCAGCAGTACACCCAGCAGTCCATGCAGGAGGCGGGGACAAAAGCTCCTGGGCAGATTGGGCACCCGGCACCCAAAGCTGACGGGCAAACTAGCAAAAGAAGCAAAAACATTGAGAAAAGAGTGCTGATGCTCTCAGACGATGAACTGTAGGTGAGAGCTGAGAGGACAGCGGCACGGGAGATGGTTTAAAAACTCATTGTCTCTGCAATCTGACTGGAGCCAAGAGAGAGCAACAGACCTGGACCAGAGAAGCTAAGACCAGCTGTTGCTTTGGAAGGAAAGAAGCAAGAACCAGAGAGGGGTGGGATGCTGAACTGTGCTTGACTTCTGCTGTCCTGTCCCTGCTGATGTTGGAGATTGGTTCTTCTCTATTCCCATTAGGCCCCTATACTTTTGTCATTCAGTGGTTCTTGTCCACCAACCTGCCCCACTGCCAGTGTTCTGATGCACGACTAGCATCTGTATCCGTACTGTGGGAATGATGTGACAGGAAGCAACCAGGACTCCTGAGAGTTCCTACCAGTGCTGCAAGATGGAGGCTGGAGTCCAGCTCATCCTCTCGCCTATGAACAAGGGCAAGGAGGGGAAGAGAACGGCTCTGCTCTAGTGACTCTTGGCCTAAGTAAAAAGATGAACGGTTCTCAAGCTTCCGGGGAGAAGAGCAGACTGGGAAGTCAGCTGGACATCGCCTCCTGCTCTGACATTTTGAAAGTTACCAAAGGGTTTTTTTGGTTAAAACTTAGGGAGAGAAAAATCTCAATAATCTTGCAGGAAAGGGAGGGAGGGAGAATTAATGAGCTATTTTCTGGTACCTACCTGCCTAAAATTTAATAATCCCCAAGGAAGGGGCTAAAATGAAATTAAACTGCTGCTACCTGTACTGCTTCTGGGAGGGGGAACCTCTTTATTTGTGTCGTAAAAGGACTATGATCCACCTTGGAGTGGATCAAAAATTGAAATGGATTCCAATTGGCTTATTAAATTGCTTTTCAGGGAATTGAACTGTCACGACTGTGACTGGCAGGGTTAGGAATTCACTTACTGGAAACTATATTCTTCTTGAAAACATTTGCTATTAAGCAACCCTCCTTAAATGTAAGAAACAGCTTTATGTTAATGCCTAGCACTTGGCTTCATTTAGACGGGAGAGAACCAGGACTATTTAAAAAAAAAAAAATTAAATACCACAAACCCAAGTTCATAAGTGGGAAGTGTGTGTGCAAACCCCTGCCCTGCTGGGGTTACGCTGATCACATACTGATCTATTGCTAGGGTCACGTGCACCTTTTTAAAAGAGGCCATGTCCTCTATGTGAACAGAGGTGGGAACCTAAAATGACAGAGGGGCTCTGTTCTAAGATAGCTGGTGAGTGAAATATAAATAGGCCTGTGCCCTTTTGCTGTTGACCTGAACAATGCCATTTCTGGGAGACAAATGTCCTAATATGGCTTCAGCTGGATTAATTCCCCTGTGTTGAACACCAGTGGATAGTGCACCTCATTCTGTGAACCTTCCTATAACATCCCACCAGACCTGTATTTTAGATCTTTGAAGAGAACCTTACTAATTTCTGTCCATACCCGCTCTCTCCTACCGGAATGCCTGCTGGAAACTCATTCGGGTGTTGGCATCGCTTTGTCTTAGTTCATGGGGGGCAGTTTGTGTGTCTTAAAAGGACCTATAGTGCCTCAAAGTTGCTGCCATGTAATAAATGTACAGTTAACGCTTATGGTTCTGTTTAGAAGTGGACCCTTTTTTTAAAAAATCCAGCTGTTTTCCCAGCTCTGAGATCCCTTGAGCCTGAGAAGTGGAAATTGTAACTTAACAATCCCACATTTTACTATTTATAAGGTTGTTGTTTTTCCTAATAAATGGGTGTTTCTATTACTGCTCCAATGAGCACTTCATTTGGCAAAGCCTTGTTACCCAGCCGGTGAGGAGGGCCTCTGATGTGATCCAGCAGCTCTCTGCCATCCAACACTGACACTCGTAAATTCAGAAGCACCACATGGGCCTCTTGACACTATGGCAACTGGGGCACCAGAAACGCCTGCATGGACAAAATGTACCATGATGCCCTGGCTCTGCGGGGGAGTCCTCCCATCTCGCTGGTTTTCACACCACCTCTTCTAGGCTGGAAGAACACAGTGCTCTCCTCTGCAGCCCTTCTACCTCCTTTCTTGTGCTGTGGAGTTTTGAGAGAGGTTACACCCACCTTAAGGCCAGCCTCAAACTGGGCTGAGTGTTTTGCAGCAGTGCCAGGACAGTAGTAAGCAGACTTGAGAAGCTT